AGTGGAGATGACGACTTCAAGTTCAGCAGAGTGGATTGCACCACATATATTGCACCACGAAGGTTGCCCAACATATATTGCGCGACGTAGATTGTACACCATGGACAACACCATTTACAATCAACTTTTTAAATCCAGCTTGTTTTTTCCCGTGCGGCACCTTTGGCCAAGGCCCCTGCCGAATAAAAGAGTGCGGCGGTCAAGCCTTCGTTTGCAGGAAATTATGCGACCGCCCCCCGCCAAACTTAATCATGCCGAGCTCATTTTCTTCGCTCAGCGGGGATGTGGGTCAGCTTTATACCCCAAATAAGAACATCGATGTCTGGGTACAATGCCGGTACACGGGCAATCCAAATACTGCGGGTGCACGGGCAATCCAAATGCTGCGTTTTCGCTGCTGGGCATTTTCCGGCCACGCAGGTGCCAAAATAAAGGAGGCCAACGTATTGTTTTCGCTCTCGGGAATAAAGCGCTCAGCGCCTCCGCCAAATAAAGATATTGCAAGCTGGAACTTTCGTTTGCAAGGCATTTTGGCGCGGCGCCTTCGCCAAATATCAATTTGCGGCAATATATGGCAGTATAGCTATATAAATGTATATATAAATATATTTATGTATATGTATGCATATACATATACATTTACATATTTCACCGGCTACGTTGCACCACAGAGATTGCACAGCGTATCTTGTTTCGCATGCGTTGCACAACATGGAATGCTAGCAACACGCTGTTTGGGGTCCACGCTGGCTACTTTAAAAATCTAAAGCATGGATACTCGTCCCCCGTGAGGGCCCAAAAGTGTCCGTATCCACGGCCTCCCGAAGTCCACAGCACGGACCCCAATGGTGGTGGCGATGGACAAGCTCTGGCCTCGGGCCCAGGCGACGTCCGACGATATGATTTCCTAGTAGCGTTTTGCCATGGAAGGTTCTACTGGTGCTAAGAAACTGCGACAGAAGAGCCCCGCAAAAGAGGACGGGGAACCCGTGCCCGCCCAGTGCGGGCAACCGTTTTACCCAAGAGTCCTCACAATTTATTTGAGAATCGTGCTCTCGCCTCAATGCCAACTATATTTGTGGTCCTGACGGCCACTGTTCCTTACACAAAACACACTGGTGTGCACATGGTCGTACTCTCACCCCTGTCACACCACACGGCCACGGTCCCTTGTAACACAACACAAAAGACTACGGCGCGCATGGCCGCACTCTCACCCCTGTCACACGGCCACGACTCAATGTGAAACATTACTACCGTGTACATGGCCGTGCTCTCACCTCTGTCACGCGTAGGAGCCCATAGGAATGTATCGGGCTGCACGTTTTCACTGACCGACCTGCTACTCCTCGACCCGCCTCTTCACCTTTGCTGCTATTCGGGTGCTTCGCTGCGGTAGTCCCACCAGCCCTTACAAGCGTGAGTGGTCCAACGTGGAGACACGAAAAGATACCGATACCGCTACTCCCTGGACCCTTCCTGGGGCGCGATCTGGCTAGGATTTCGAAGCCAATCCGGCGGTGGAGGGCCTCCCAGGAGGCCCAAGAAAGGGAAAACAAGGGAAGGGGTAGAGTGTTGGTACCCTTCCTTCTCTGATCACGAGCTCGTTCTGCCAACCCGTTTCCTCCCGGTCGGGCAAGGCGTTCCCCCTCCCCGTAACCCGCCCCCCCTGGGTCTGCACGCCCCCATCCCCCACGAGGTGCCAGAGGGTCCTTGGTGGCCCCGGGTGGCTCCAAGAGGGCCCAGAGAGCCCAAGATGGCCTCCTATATCGCTCAAGATATCCCAGGGTGGTCCAGCATGTCTCCTAGAGCCCTCAAGATCGCCGCAGGACGGCCCCAACTGCCCTCCCAGCCTCCCAAGGAGGCCCCCAGGAGGCCAAAGCCGTTCAACACAGTTGCAGCCACCCGGGGAGCCGCGAGGTTTCGTCTGGGTGTGTTCACAACTCCACTCCGCTGGGCCTCCCATGAGCCCACCAAAGTGGCGACGGCTGAGCAGCTCGCAGCCCCCCAGGGAAGCCGCGAGGTCTCGGCGGGGTGCGTTTACAACTCCACTCCGCTGGGCCTCCCACGAACGTGGCGACAGTTACGCGGTTCGCAGCCCCCCCCAGGGGGCCGCGAGGTCTCGGCTGGGTGTATGCACAGCTCCACTCCGCTGGGCCTCCCAGGGGCCCTCGAACGTGGCGACCGTTGCGCAGTTCGCAGCCTCCCAGGGACCAGCGAGGTCTCGGCTGGGTGTGTTTACAACTCCACTCAGCGACGGTTGCGCAGTTCGCAGCCCCCCAGGGAAGCCGCGAGGTCTCGGCTTGGAGTGTTTACAACTCCACTCCGCTGGGCCTCCCATGAGCCCCCAACGTGGCCACGGTTGCGCAACTACGTGGCGACAGTTGCACAGTTCGCTGCCCGCGCAGGGTAGCCGCGAAGTCTCGGCTTGATGTGTTTACAACTCCATTCCGCTGAGCCTCCCAAGAACCCGCGAAACTGGCGAGAGCTTCACACTTCGCAGCCCCCCAGCGAGCCGTGAGGTTCCCCCCCAGGAGCACACGGGAGAGACAGAGTCACAACGGGGCTGCAACGCAAACAGGACAAAGGAGAGAAGGGAGGAGGAAGAGAAGGAAGAGGAGACAGGAGGCAGGAAGTAGGAGGCAGGAGGCAAGACGGGGAGGAGGAACGAGGAGTGGAGGCCAAGCGGAGTGGAATTGTACATATACCCAGCCGAGACCTCGCGGCCCCCTGGGGGGCCTGCGAACTGCGCAACTGTCGCCACGTTCGTGGGCTCGCGGGAGGCCCAGCGGAGTGGAGTTGTAAACACACCCAGCCGAGACCTCGCTGCTCCCTGAGGGGCTGCGAGGTGTGCAACTGCCGCCACTTTCGTGGGCCCTGCGGGTCTTTCAATCTGTTCGTTTGTATTGATCGGTCCCGTGCATCGTCGCCACATGTGTAGAAAGGGTTGGGCACGTCGCAGGGTAATTGTTCAATGTGTTTTGCCTTCTCGCCTTTTCTCTTCCTGCTGGCGCTCGCTTGCCATCGTTCGGACGTCCATTGCCCGTGCATGTTTCGGTTTCGTGGATGCTCCTCGATGGTCCTCGCCGAGAAAAATCCTGATCTCCGAGCGATGCCGAGCTCGAGGCCTTGAGATGGCTCCGACGTGGCCCACGGAGGGCCCCAGGAGGGCCCCAAGAGGCCCCGCACTCAAGACCGCCCCAGGAGCGGCCCAAGAGGGCCCCTGCAGGGCGTTTTTGCGGGCCCCGACAGGGGAACCGTACTTGTCAAGAAAATCATGATTTAAGACATCTGGGCCAGCTTCCGGGACGTTTCTTAACCACAACCTGTGCCACGTTCAGTTGTCGACCCTTGAGGGGCGAAAGGAACTCAAGAAACTGGACCAACTCTCTGGTAACTTGGTCAAGAAACGCTGGCCCAGCTTTCCAGAAGGAGGTTTCTTGATCATATACTCGACTGTAACTGAGTATCCTCTATTCTAGGATCGACTTCCAAGATGGCCCCAAGAGGAGGGCCCCCAAGGCCTCCAAGAGGGCCCCAAGAGTCCCAAGAGGGCCCCGAGTGAGCCTGAAGATGCTCCCAGGGCGTCCAAAATTGCTTCAAGAGGGCTCAAACACTGCTCCAAATTGCATCCAACCAGCGCCCGAAGCAAAAGACCCGCAGGCAACGACACGCAACCACTCAACTAGGACAACCACCAGGAGCCGCGAAGCGCACGCAACGACGCAGACGCCACTCATCAAACGCACAGGGAGCCTGTGGCCGCTTCGGTTGAGGGGTCGCATGTCGTCGCTCACTGATCAGGTCATCTCGCCTGCTGCTTGTTGTTGCATGGGCTGGGCGGGATACGCGAGACGCGCCAGGAATTTGGCCAATGCCTGGCCCCAAGAAGTCCCGACCCATTTCCCAGGGCCGGTCCTTCGCCCCAGATCGGGGCTTCGAAAACGGGGGCTTCGCCAAACGGGGCCTTACGCTTTTCCTACGGCGCCCAGGGATCCCTGAACGGGGGCATAGCCACACGTGGAAATCGGCGTTCCCCGTGCCCCCGTTTGTTGTGCCCCCGACTCCGGCACCCTGAACGGGTCCATTCTTGGCAGTCCCAGGGCCTGAACGCTGGCCCCAGAGGCCGAAATCGACGGAAAGGGCAAGGAATTTATAATAGAACATCGCACCGTCGGAGCTCTGGGGCTCCTTTGTCCATAGCGGGCCCGAAAACTGGGGTCTCTCTGGCGGCCGCTCGGGACGAGCGCCCTCGGCGAGGCGAGAAAACACCTGCAAGAAGCAGCGACAACCTCCCAACACTTCCCTCCCTCTAGGGGAACAAAAAGTGACATAAACAAAAAACTCGGAGGCCCGCGCGGAATTCTCGGATCGGCGCTGGACCCCCCCTCCCTGGCGCGCGGAGCGCGCCAGGGGCGGCGCCGGAGGCGCCGTCGGGGGGCCCCAGCGCCGATCCGAGACATCCGCGCGGACCTCCGAGTTTTTATGCTGAGTTTTGATGCTTATGTTTATGCAGAGTTTTTTTTTATGTTTTTCCTGTTTTTTATGCCGAGTTTGTATGCCGAGTTTTTATGTTCATGTCCTGGTGGCTTTCGCGCCACACCTCGAGGTTCCGCGCGGCCGCTCGGGGCGAGGCCGGGGCAGCCCTGGAGCGCCCCGTGGGCGAGGCGCAGGCCGCCGAAGAGAGGGAGCGCCCCGAGGCGAGGAGGAGGGGGAGGAGGAGGGGGAGGAGGAGGAGGAGGGGGAGGAGGAGGGGGGGGAGGAGGAGGAGGAGGAGGAGGAGGAGGAGGGGAGGAGGGGGAGGAGAGGGGGAGGAGGAGGAGGAGGCGGAGGAGGAGGAGGAGGAGGAGGGGGGAGGAGGAGGAGGAGGGGTAGGGAGAGGAGTGAGGAGGAGGAGGGGGAGGAGGAGGAGGAGGAGGGGCCTCCGAGAGACCCACGAGATCGGGGGAGAGCGCCTGGACCGCAGAGAAATCACATCGCCGGAGATCTGGGAAATGTGCTCCGCCAGCTCCCAGCGCCGCGCCGCGCTCTCGGCGCCGCGGCCCCCTGAGCATCGTTCTGCCGATCCCGGTCCCCCACTGGCGAGGCCTGGGCCCCGCTGGCCGATTTCCCCCCCCCCCCCCCCCCCCCCCATGCAAGGGGCCCCCCGGATGGGGATGTAATAGGCCGTTCCCTCCGGGTTTCGCTTTCGAGGGGCCTGTCCCCAGCCGGGGTGGCGGGATGGTGGGGCTGAGATACCATGGCCCGGTGGGGAGGGGACCTCCTCGTCGACCTTCTCGTCCCCCTCGTTCTTGGTGGACGAAGGAAGGAGGACGAGGAGGAGAAGGACGAGGAAGGACGAGGAGGAGGAGGACGAGGAGAAGGACGAGGAGGAGGAGGACGAGGAGGAGGAGGAGGAGGAGGAGGAGGAGGAGGAGGAGGAGGAGGAGGAGGAGGAGAAGGAGCAGGAGGACGAGGAGCACGAGGAGGTCGATGAGGTTTAACGATGCGGACGCACGGCTCCTCGCAGCTCCGAGCTGCCGACCAGGGCCTGCAGCAGCGCCTGGGCCTTGGCCACGGCGCCTGCAGCGCCAGAGAGTCGTATGGCGGCCGAGGCCTCGCCCTGGGAGGCCTGCCGAGGCATCACAACCCGCCCCATCGATGCGCACCCCAGCAGCTGCCCTCCCAGAGCTGCGCAGCGAAGCACCCAGATCTCCGATCAGATTTCCAATCCCATCGGGGTGTTTTTCTTCGATTTCGGCCTCCAGGGCCTGTTTCTGGGCCCCGTGGCCATCAGAAATGGATCCGGGCCGAAAAAGTACCTCCAGGGAAGCGGACGGGACCTCCGGAGCCGCGCACTGAAAAAAACAGAACGGCAGATGTCAGGAAGTGCGGGAGCATTTCGATCGATGTGTGCAATTCAGTCGCGAGCTTTTCTCGCTACAGTGCCAAATCGTCAGTGGTGGGGATGTCCTGCCCCCCACCCTGCGCCTCGACCGCAAGGGAGGCGCCCGACTTCGCCTGCAGCAGCTTGATTGTGGTGCCCTTCCTGCCAATCACCTTCCCGACCAAGCCCGACGGGACCATGAACACGGCCTCCCCGCAGCCCGGCTCATTCGCCGCCTGCTCGCGCTCCTGACACTCCCTGGCCACCGAGATGTAGCCCTGACCGCGGTTCTCAATCCGCAGGACGGGCTCCGCTCTGCCTCCTGCGCCGGGCTCCGAGAAGGTGGCCCTGAGGTCAAAGGTATCGCCCGCCAGCGGGTGGGAGATCCGCACGGCCTCCGTGGAGCTGGGGCGGAAGCACTGCGCCCTGTTCGCCTCGGACACCCCCACGAGCAGGAACTGGCGCGAGGCGGCCAGGGCTCCGGCACCCTCTGGGGAGGTCAAGCGGAACACGCCCTGCTTGAAGTTGGCATCCCCTCTGACGCGCCGTGGCTGGGGCTCCTCGGGCCAAACGCACGCGACGAGCTCCTCGCGAAAGGGCATCTCCTCGGGGTCCTCGCGCTGCAGCGCGGCCAGCACGGGCTCGTACGAGCGAAAGTAGGCCGGAGAGGCCAGGAGCACGACGTGCTCCCACCGCAAGATGTGCCCGATCCCCCGCTGCATCGACTCTGCCTCGGCCCGGTACAGCCCGAGCAGCAGGCGCCTCTCGGCGGCGTCCGCGCAGGCAACCAACGCCCACACCACGCGCGACTGGGCGCCGTCCCCAGGGAGAAGCAGGGCGCACAAGTTGCCCGGCATGAGGCTCGGGGCGAGCCTGCGGAAAGCCCAGCCGGGGCGGCGCCCGGCTTGGGCGGGGAAGTCCTGGACCTCCACCACGACGAGGAGCTGTGAGCCGGCTCGCCCGGCATCCTCGCCTCCGTCCAGCGTGACACCCCGGATCGCGGCGCTGCAGGCTGGCGCCTCCTCCCCGCTGCCCTGCCCTGCCTCGCTGGCCAACTCCCGCGCGACCCCCCTCCTGGGTGTGGCGCAAGCGGGCCCCGAGGGAGGGACTTGTCCTGGGGCCTTTCCCCGGGGCCAACTTTTCATCCAACATCATTTTGACGGTCCTCTGGCCTGGCGAGAGGGTCCCGAGAACCCCCGAAGACAGCGGAACGGCTCAAGGCCCGTTCTCCTCAGGACCCTTTCGCTTCGCAACGATCTCCGCATCGCGGCGAGGCCGTCCTCCCGCAGGAGCCGGAAGTATGTGTCGAAGTACGCGTGCGCGCTCGGGTACGGCTGGCCGACGAGCACGCTGGGCAGAGCGGCGGAATCTGCGGTGCACCGCCCGCGCGACGCGAGGGCGCTGGGCGAGGCGGCCGCGGCGCCCCGGGCACCCTCCAACTCGAAGCGCTCCGGCACGAGGAGGAGCCGGTGCCACGGCCGGTGCTGCGAGGCAGCGAGCGCTGGGTGCAGCAGCGGTCTCGTGACCTGCTCGTACAGCTCCGCCAGCTGCACCGCCAGGCGCGCCGCGGCTTGGTGTCGGGCGGCCCCGCCGTGAGGGTCGAGCCCGAGCGCCGCCTCGCGCAGCAGCGGGGCGGCGAGGTTCGCGTGGCTCGGGGCGACCCGCGCCAGCTGGCGCACGAACGGCGCCGCTGTCTGTTCGAGAAAGCAGCTTCCCCCGTCCACTGCTAGAAAAAGAAAAAACGCCATAAACAGAAACTTTTGGCGCTCCGCGCGGATTTCTTGGATCTGCGCTGGACCCCCCTCCGTGGCGCGCGGAGCGCGCCAAGGGCGGCGCCTCAGGGCGGATCCAAGAAATCCGCGCGGAGCGCCAAACGTTTATGTTTATTTATCGTATGTTTTCTTCTTCGAACTGCGCTCCTCTGGAGCAGCTGGAGGGCCGGGGAGCTCTCCTCTGGCGTGAGCAGCGCCTCGGCCGCAGCTGCGAGCGCGTCCCTCGCTGCCGTGCCGAGGAGCCGGCCGCAGCAGGCGGCGGCCGCCATGGCCACCTGGACCAGGGCGTGCAGGGAGCTCTCGCCGTTGCTGGCCGACCGGGGTAGCTGGGGCCGCATCTGCACGGAGTCGCCCGCGTTCTCCTATGGGAGGGCACCAACTATACACCAACACCCATCCTGGCCAGGATCACCGTGGGCCCGGGATCGGAGTACACGCCCTCCTGCCTTGGGCTGAATGCAAACACACCGATCCTGTGCTTAGGATCGGCCTGGCCAGGACCGTCGCAGGTGTTTGGTCGGTGCCCTCCGACCCTAGAAGCCTCCCAGATGGGGTCCGAGCAGATGGGGCCGGAGGCTCGCGCCGCATCGCCGATACGTCGGCGATGCATCGGCGATGCACCAGCGATCCCATCGGGGGGGCCCAGATTTGAGCAGGGACCGACCGTCCCGGAAGTCCTATAGCCCTACCACGACATGTTCTTAGAACCCCAAGATGTTCTAAGAACAAAGCAATGTTCTTAGAACATAAACCTGATGTGTTAAAACAGGACAGTCTCGGCTGGACATGTTCTAAGAACATCTCGTGGAAACCACAAAAGCTTCTTCGAGCATTGTCTGGTAGGGCTATAGGCGGGCCAGGACGCTTCGCCACTGCTTGACGGATCTCCGTGGAGTGCGCCAGGACGTCGAAATCCCCCGAGGCCTCACCGCACGGTTTGTCACCGCACGGTCTTGGGACCTCGGAGGCCCCCCATCGCCCGAGACGGCCTCGGAGAACGACCCGAGTCCCGAAACCACGCGGTGACCCCGAAGCCCCACTGGCTCACCACGCGGTGCCCAGAGATCCGATGTCGTGATTTTTTTCAATGTGGGGTCCTCGGAAGTCTCGACCCATTCCCCAGGACCGATTTTTCGTCCTGAGTCGTTTTTTGACGGTCTTGGGGCCCGGCGAGGGCCCCACGAGGCCGAAAAATACGAAAAACTTACGTCTTGATTACCTAACAGCGAAGACTGATAGGTTTCTAGTGGTGTCAAAAGAGAGCATCATGACTCCTCAGGGGGGTCGGGGCGGGACCCGGGGCGGCTGCCGCCGAAGCCCAAATCGCTTTGGACATCCTCGCAAAATCGCTCTTGGCGCTGCTAGAACTCCATTCCCGCCGTACATTTTGGATGCCCGGAGCCAACTGTAGGCCACTTCGTGGTCTTCGAGTTCCCAGAACTCCATTCCCGGCGTACATTTTGGATGCCCGGAGCCAACTGTAGGCCACTTCGTGGTCTTCGAGTTCCCAGAACTCCATTCCCGGGCTACATTTTGGATGCTCGGAGCCAACTGTAGGCCACTTCGTGGTCTTCGAGTTCCCAGAACTCCATTCCCGGGCCACATTTTGGATGCTCGGAGCCAACTGTAGGCCACTTCGTGCTCTTCCACTTCCCAGAACTCCATTCCTGGGCATGATTTTGAATGCCCGGAGCCAACTGTAGGCCACTTCGTGTTCTTCTAGTTCCCAGAACTTCATTCCTGGGCCACATTTTGATTGCTGAGGCAGGCTGATGCTGCGGCCGAGGCAGGCTGAGGCTGAGGCAGGCTGAGGCTGAGGCCGAGGCTGAAGGCAGACTGAGGCTGAGGCTGAAGCAGACTGAAGCTGAGGCTGAGGCAGGCTGAGGCTGAGGCTGAGGCTGAGGCAGGCTGATGCTGAGGCAGGCTGAGGCTGAGGCTGAGGCTGATGCAGGCTGAGGCTGAGGCAGGCTGAGGCTGAGGCCGAGGCTGAAGGCAGACTGAGGCTGAAGCTGAAGCAGGCTGAGGCTGAGGCTGAGGCAGGCTGAGGCTGAGGCTGAGGCAGGCTGAGGCTGAGGCAGGCTGAGGCTGAGGCTGTGATTGCGACTGCCGTTGCCACTGCGACTGTCATCGCGAATGCGATTACGACTGCGAGAACAGCAGAATTCTACAACTGGATTCTCATTTGAATCTTAAGGGGAATGCTTCCAAATATGCTCCTACACATCGCTGTTAGGTTGCTTTGCCGGGATATTTTTTTCAATACGTTGGATCTCTGGGTGCGGTCACCGCACCGTGTGGTGTGTGGTCACCACCACGTCTGGGGACCCCCGAGCTCTGCAGCGGCTGCGCCTCGCCGAGGGCATTCCGGAGGTGCCCGCACCGTCCTGGGCGCCCGCGCAAGGCCCGAGCAGTGGCCCGAAGACCACCAGGGGCCTAGACCTCCATCCGGGGGGCCTCCCTCCCCCTCCTCCTCCCTCCCTCCTCTCCTCCCCCCTCCCCCTCCTTCTCTCTCCCCCCTCCCCCTCCTCCCTCCTCCCTCCTCCCTCCTCCCTCCTCCCTCTCCCTCTCCTCCTCCTCTCCTCCCTCCTCCTCCTCCTCCTCCTCCTCCTCCTCCTCCTCCTCCTCCTCCTCCTCCTCCTCCTCCTCCTCCTCCTCCTCCCAGTCGGGGGGCCCGCATCTCCGTGGAGTGCGCCAGGACGAGCTTCGCCGTGACGGGGCACAGGGCACGCAGGCTGCCAGCGGCCTGCGAGCGGCCTCGGGCACCGAGAGCCCGCACGGCAGCGCCCGGCTGCGGCGGCTCGCCGGGGGTGGCTTGCGGCTCCACGACGGCGTAAGCCTGCTGTTAGGTCGGGCACGTCCCCCTGCAGGGGCACTTTTGGGCGAAAAATTAAAATTACCATGTGACGTACCCAACCCATTTGTATCATGGGAAACGAGGAGTTGGCCGAAACCTGCACGGACCATCAAATTGCAGGATCCGTTGTTTGATATGTAAGCTACATGGGACACGCGCCAATGGCATGATGCGCAGGAGAACCATACAAGAGCGAGGGGCGACAACTACAGACTCGAAGAAGACATGGGGAGTCGGGAACGAAGAGCAGGAGAAAGACGTGCGGGAAGCCCACTGTGCTGGGCCCCTCAGCAGCCCTCGAAAGTGGCGACCGTTTCACAGATCGCAGCCCCCCAGGGATGGCGAGGTCTAACATGAGTCTGCGGTGAGTGCCCATTCTGCTGGGCCCCTCAGCAGCCCTCGAAAGTGGCGACAGTTTCACAGATCGCAGCCCCCCAGGGATGGCGAGGTCTACTCTGAGTCTGCGGTGAGTACCCACTGTGCTGGGCCCCTCAGCAGCCCTCGAAAGTGGCGACCGTTTCACAGATCGCAGCCCCCCAGGGATGGCGAGGTCCCATTTGAGTCTGCGGTGAGTACCCACTGTGCTGGGCCCCTCAGCAGCCCTCGAAAGTGGCGACAGTTTCACAGATCGCAGCCCCCCAGGGATGGCGAGGTCCCATTTGAGTCTGCGGTGAGTACCCACTGTGCTGGGCCCCCCAGCAGGCCTCGAAAGTGGCGACAGTTTCACAGATCGCAGCCCCCCAGGGATGGCGAGGTCCAATTTGAGTCTGCGGTGAGTACCCACTGTGCTGGGCCCCTCAGCAGCCCTCGAAAGTGGCGACAGTTTCACAGATCGCAGCCCCCCAGGGATGGCGAGGTCCCATTTGAGTCTGCGGTGAGTACCCACTGTGCTGGGCCCCTCAGCAGCCCTCGAAAGTGGCGACAGTTTCACAGATCGCAGCCCCCAGCAGCCTTTGAATCCGCTGTGAGTACCCACTGTGCTGGGCCCCCCCAGCAAGCCTCGAAAGTGGCGACAGTTTCACAGATCGCAGCCCCCCAGGGATGGCGAGGTCTAATTTGAATCCGCCGTGAGTGCCCACTGTGCTGGGCCCCCCAGCAACCCTCGAAACGTGGCGACAATTTCACAGATCGCAGCCCCCCAAGGATGGCGAGGTCCCACTTGAATCCGCCGTGGGTGCCCACTGTGCTGGGCCCCCCAGCAGCCCTCGAAGTGGCGACAGTTTCACAGATCGCAGCCCCCCTGGGATGGCGAGGTCCAATTTGAATCCGCTGTGGGTGCCCACTGTGCTGGGCCCCCCAGCAGCCCTCGAAAGTGGCGACCGTTTCACAGATCGCAGCCCCCCAGGGATGGCGAGGTTCATTTGAGTCCGCCGTGAGTACCCACTGTGCTGGGCCCCCCAGCAGCCCTCGAAAGTGGCGACAGTTTCACAGATCGCAGCCCCCCAAGGATGGCGAGGTCCCATTTGAATCCGCCGTGGGTGCCCACTGTGCTGGCCCCCCCAGCAGCCCTCGAACATGGCGACAATTTCACAGATCGCAGCCCCCCAGGGATGGCGAGGTCCCGTTTGAATCCGCCGTGGGTACCCACTGTGCTGGGCCCCCCAGCAGGCCTCGAAAGTGGCGACAGATTCACAGATCGCTGCCCCCCAGGGATGACGAGGTCTCATTTGAATCTGCCGTGGGTACCCACTGTGCTGCGCCCCCCAGCAGCCCTCGAATGTGGCGACAATTTCACAGATCGCAGCCCCCCTGGGATGGCGAGGTCCCATTTGAGTCTGCCGTGGGTACCCACTGTGCTGGGCCCCCCAGCAGGCCTCGAAAGTGGCAACAGTTTTACAGATCGCTGCCCCCCAAGGATGGCGAGGTCCCATGTGAGTCTGCCGTGTGTACCCACTGTGCTGGGCCCCCCAGCAGCCCTCGAAAGTGGCGACAGTTTCACAGATCGCAGCCCCCCAGGGATGGCGAGGTCCCATTTGACTCTGCCGTGGGTACCCACTGTGCTGGGCCCCCAGCAGGCCTCGAAAGTGGCGACAGTTTCACAGATCGCAGCCCCCCAGGGATGGCGAGGTCCCATTTGAATCTGCCGTGGGTACCCACTGTGCTGGGCCCCCCAGCAGGCCTCGAAAGTGGCGACAGTTTCACAGATCGCAGCCCCCCAGGGATGGCGAGGTCCCATTTGACTCCGCCGTGGGTACCCACTGTGCTGGGCCCCCCAGCAGGCCTCGAAAGTGGCGACAGTTTCACAATCGCAGCCCCCAGGGGATGGCGAGGTCCCATTTGAGTCTGCCGTGGGTGCCCACTGTGCTGGGCCCCCCAGCAGCCCTCGAAAGTGGCGACAGTTTCACAGATCGCAGCCCCCCAGGGATGGCGAGGTCCAATTTGAATCCGCCGTGGGTACCACACTGTGCTGGGCCCCCCAGCAGCCTCGAAAGTGGCGACAGTTTCACAGATCGCAGCCCCCCAGGGATGGCGAGGTCTAATTTGAATCCGCGGTGGGTACCCACTGTGCTGGGCCCCCCAGCAGGCCTCGAAAGTGGCGACAGTTTCACAGATCGCAGCCCCCCAGGGATGGCGAGGTCCCATTTGAGTTTGCCGTGGGTACCCACTGTGCTGGGCCCCCCAGCAGCCCTCGAAAGTGGCGACAGCTTCGCAGATCGCAGCCCCCCAGCTGGCACGCAGCGACGAGCGAGGCAAAAGGCAAGGGGGAAGAGAGGGGCGGGAAGGAAGGAAGGAGACGCGCGAGCAGTGCTCTATTCAAAACGAGAACCCAACGCAGGAGGGTTGGGAAATACCGTGCAAATTCTCCCCGAATGCTCAGAGAGATAATCAAAACATCGTCCCCAGACTATCTTTTGAGTAATCTTGAATTTCCCCCTGTAGAGGGACAGGCCCGACGTAAGCCTGCCGCCCGAAGCGCACCCACACGCGCTCGGACTCCTCCCCCGCCTCGCCCCGCTGGCCCGACGATGGCGCCGCCTGCCGCTCCTCCGCAGAGGGCAGCCCCCAGCCAGCAGGGGGCTGGCGCGGCGCCCGCGCCTCCGGGTCACGCGCGAGCTCGCGGAGCAGGCTGCGAACACGCGACGCCTGGGGGCCATCCGCAGAGCGCAGCGCCGAGACAGCCAGGATGAAGCTTGCGGTCAAGCGGCAGGGCCGGAAGATGCGGACCGGTACAGTGGCCGACCTCTCTTGTTTCAGGCGGGCGAACAAGTATTCCTGCTGGAAGCGCTTCAGGACCCAGAGGCGCCGATTGTTCAGCGACCAGTAGCTTCCACGAAATCTGACCACGTCCAGTGTGAGCCGGTCGTCGTCAAGGGCCACCCTGCCTCGCTTGAGCTCCCCCAGAAGGTCTTCTGGAGCCCTGCCATCCCGAAACTTACCGCTGATGACGGCGTGCGTGAAGCGCAGCTCGTCTATCGCGACGCGACCCCTCTCGTAAGGGACATCGTCCCTCTCTGCTTTCGTCTCGTCACGGACCTGGACGGCAACTTCAAGGGCCACCTGGTCTCCATCGCAACGCACCTCCACTGGCCTCGGGGCGTCCTTCGGGGGTCTGCTGACCCGGATCAATGCAAGCCCAGGTCAGTCAGGCTGTGCAGGATCCTGCACCTAAGCCCAGCTCTGTGCACTCCTGGCCCTGCAAGATCCTGCAAGATCCGTCGCTCTAACTGACCCCCGTTTGCACTGACCCGCGTCTCTTGAGCCTCGGGGCGTCCTCGTCCACACAGCAGCCGCGGCTGTGTGCCCTCTGCAGCTGCTGCACGAGCGAGGCCAGCAGGCTCCAGAGCGGCCGGCTGGTGGCGACCTGCAGCACCTCGTCCCGCCGCGGCCCTGCATCAGCACCTCCTCCTCCTCCTCCTCCTCCTCCTCCTCCTCCACCTCCCGCTCCGCCTATCGCCCCCCCGCCGCGCGGGGCTTGATCCGCCACGCGGCGCAGGACGCGGAGGACCGTAGCCAGGCGCCTGGCGGGCCTGGACTCCGAGAACTCCAGCACCTCGACGCGGGACGCAAAGGCCCTGCCAGGCCCGCCGCTGGAGGCGGGGGCGCTCACGTGGCAGAGGACCCGGTCCCCCCTCGCCAGCTCCAGCCCGCCGTCGCCCACCACCCTGTCCAGGTCGAATTGTATGCCGTGCTCTTCCTGCACCTGGGCGCCCGTCTTGTCCTCCCACAGGGCGACGCCGCGCCCCCCTCCCCTGCCTCCCCGTCTCTCGGGTGCGCCGAAGAGGGGGGCCAGGAAAAGAGGGAGGTGGGTGCGCATCATGGCCCGAGGCGTGTGCGCGGCTAGGAAAGGGGGCAGGGAACGAATCGGAAGAAGAAGAAGAACAAAGAAGAAGGGGCCACGAAGTCAAGAAAATCCCATTGCATGGCCACATGCCATCCACACGTACACGCCCCCCCCCCCCCCCCCCCACACACACACACACACGCACCCACGCACACACACACACGCACACACGCAGCAACGCACTCACGCACCCACGCACCCACGCACCCACGCACACACGCACACA